TTAACTTGACGATTGTTAAATCAGTAGATGAATAATTCTGATAAAACGATTATTAAACGTAGACATTCCGTTTCCTTCAATGCAATATATATTTCATCATATGAAAAAAATATCCGTATATTTTTCAAATTAATTAATGTTACGATGTGTTTATTTCCCCAAAAAGACGATAAACGCTACTTTAGCTTATCAGCTTGTCGACATACACGTTTCTCACTCATACACGGTGCTACTATAAATCAATCAAAGTTTTTGGACGCATACACGCGGTCCAGTTACTGAAATCACCCTGTATATAATTATTTCCTGACATAAGTTATTGTTCGTAATAGCAGCACTCAAGTAACAAACGAAAAAATGGAGTAACGAAGAGGAAAAACTGTATAAGAACCAGATTCCTCGTAAGAATTAGACAGGTATTTCGCGTGGTATCGTGACCGAAGCAATTTGCATCGTAATGAAAGTCAATTACAGCGCGTTCCATAAATCACGAACGCGTACACGCCACTGGTCGTCGCCGGATTTTGTGTATATCGTTCGGTACTTGTAGATTTAGGAGAGTTTCGCGGTCCCGTCGCGCTGGAACCGCGCAACTTCCATTCCAACTAGCGCGCACAACGTCGAATACGCGTGGCGAGCGTTCCAGTCTATCTAAATTTATTTCCATAAACGGCGTAAGTCGTCCGAGCTGTTCGATCGTGACCGTCTGTCGGTTTCAAAGAGAACTTGGCGGTTCGAGAAGTTTTATTGGGGATGGTGTTCAGTATCTGGACAAAAGAGAGACAAAGTTTCCTAATCCGCAAGGATCCGCGAGAAAGTTTAACCGTTTTTTTTCCTCCCGTTGTACGATTACTTTGCATTCATTTCCGTTGATTACGGGAACTTATTTGCTTGCAGCCAGAGAGAATGAAAAGAGAAGAAGCTTCGTATACTTTGTTTGCTGGTTTATCGCTGAAAGAATACTTTTATCTCGGTATTTTATTTGAGAAAATTTCTAGATGCTTACTTTGATAATTATAACAGTGTTGGATTAAAACTTAAGGAGAAATTGAGTATTAAGATAGTAAAAGTTGCAATTTAAAACAATATAAGAGGAAAGATAATACGAAGTAATACTATATTACAATATTACATGTAAAGCAAGCGAATATGAAATCTTTGAATTATCGGTTTGTTATTTTATTGAGAGAATTATGTAAATTGCGTTACCCTTACTCACGCTTTCGCATAGCAAGCTCAAAGTTCGAAACGGTGCGAAATCCAAACGCGGTGTGTCGTATTTTATCTTCGCGTCGTAAAATCTAGAAAAAGTCGACCAAACTGTGGAAACTTTTAGTTGCTTGTTCAGTGCTTCGCGGAGCGAAAGGAAGTCATCAATACGTTCTTTTACCTCAAGTTCGCTATTCAAAAACCAGATGCCTCCAAAAACTTAAGCAGTTTATCCAACGTGATTATCTTAAGTCATATACGAAGTTAACATTGAAAAACTATAGAGGAACGAAAGAACAAAAGAAAACTAAAACTCTATTTTCAATCTGCTATAGAATCATTTAGTTTGCCATGAAGGATAGCAAGCATTAATTATTCTCCGATATCGTGTTATTATCCATAGCAAAATACCTTCGATTTTCATAAAACATACGTTATTTTCATCTATGTCCTTAATCGTGGTAAAACCATCTTTTACCATTCAATATTCTTCCCCAAAAGCAAAATACACGTAGTTCCCTCCATCAGAGCTCGTTCACTAAGCTTAGAAAATAAATCCGCTATTTTTGTTACCGGAAAGCGCACGAGGGAGACCGCTTAAGGAGATTACTCGTCTCAAAGTAATTCAAAATAAAACGAAGAAACCGGCCGAGGCAAATAGCGGACGGACGATTAAATGCTTCAAGACGTTACATCACCTTTTTTCCAACTTTCAACAGGGATGAAATTAACCTTGCCCTGCTTCTCAGCGTGGAACTTTTTCTTTCGATTCATTAAAACTTCAAGGCTCGGGCATGTTGTATGATAACGCCGTGAAACGGCGGTTCGGCGGATCTTCCGGCCAGAAAAGGGGAGAGAAGGCCAGAAAACGGAACGAGTTGCTTTCTTTCCCTCTCTCTTTCTCTCTCTGTATTTTTTCTGCTTGTGTGTGTAACTGTTTGTGTGTGTGTTTTAAGCCCACCCTCCGATCTCTGCTTGTGCGCCAAATTCACGAAACAGGACGTGCGATAGCCTGGTTCGCCTGGCTCTTCGGTACTTTTTCCAGCGTAGCAAGACGATTTAATAAAGGGAGCGGAAACATCGCAGTTCTTGCAAGCTGGAACGGATTGAAGCTCGAGTGGCTTATTTCTCCACCAGCCATACTATTTTACTCGAAATTTCCTCCTTTGCGTGCCGAGTGGCCCGTG